AAAAAATGATAGTTGAGAAGTAGAAGACGACTCGATCGCTGGGACAATGTGTTTATTTGCCTGACGATTCGAAATCCGTCGAGGATTCATCTTCAGAGGCATACGCACAGAACAGCAGCATAAGCAGTTGGTTTTTAAGAGATTTGGCGAGCATTTTGTTTTCAGGAGCCTCTTTAGGGTACCATAAATCCTCGCAGTCCTAATTCACCAGTTTTTTTCTTTTCTTTAGTTTGTCATGGTCGTACCCAGCCTACCCCTAAGCGCCGAAAGATACCACCACATAACTAACCCAAAATACGTACTGGTAATTATATTACGGCGAACTCGAAACTAATGCCGAAAAAAACTGGATGCTTTGGTGTAATTTTGGGTTGCAAAAATGTTTACAGTTTTATGCAGAAGACTAACTGACGAGCGTACTTTTATTTCATTTAATTGATCGATGGCCTGGATTTTTCCATCCAGTATAAGTATACTGCGCTGACGAAAACGCACCAAAAGTGAACACCTTTTTACCAGCTGGCCTCCGGAACAACTGGATACACAACACACCTTTCGTCATTAATCAGTAATGTTCTATTTTATACCGGGATGCTTTTTTACCTTAAATAAACATTACCATAACTAACGGGCCAGTTCCCATCTCTTTCTGTGATCTCCTAGGTACCGGTTATGAGGCATTCGACGAATTTATTCCAGGTTCGTTATGCGTCAAAAACTGACCCAAAATGCCTGTGGCGATCGAAGTTGTCAAATGAAAGAATTATTACTTGACTTCTTTTTTTCAGGATACCTTATTCCAGTTGAGGAGATGGCACTAGGAGATACGCTTAGAGACTACGTGACGCATGCTCGAATACACCTTCAAGGGGATACGTCTGTCAGCAGAATATCACCTTACCCAAACATCAGTTTTACTTGTGCGATTGACGATAACAACGCATCGTGGTCATGTGTATTCCACTTCAAATACGCAAAAATGCAGCATCTAACACGTCATGTAAGCCACTTTTACATGCTCTCTATAATCGTATTGATGGTCCACGGACAAATAGCAGTAGAATTATATTGTACGAAGCAAGTTGAGTGGCAAAGCAATAAGTGCAAGTCACAATCCCTGCCATGGATCACACAATAGACGTCAATGAAAACGACGGTTAGACTGCCGATCTGGGCGTTAAAGAGCATTTCAACGTTAGAGACAGTAGATATCTTAAGAAAAGTACAAACATCTAAATGGTTGTCACCTTGCGACTACCGTTGATATTCCAACCAGTTCATGTAGATCTTCATTTACAACCTCTGTGCTTTTTCTACTACTGCCACTTCTGCGAACTCAGTTGCTGCTGAAATGGCACGATGATATTATACTTTTGCATTAACAGTGTACCCCCCCCCACCCCTCCTTGAATGAGTTGTACCAGAATTTCAACAAAGTCTATTAATGCTGCCGTTGAACTCCCAATTATGTGCATTGTTGCAATGTAAATTGCCCGAAGTTGGCTTGAAGGAAGTGTTGCAATGTTACTACTTACGTGAATCGTTTTCTTTTTAGGCCACTGAAGTGGATGCTAAGGAATTGATACTCAGTGGAAACATGTACAACATGTCTGGAAAGTTTGACGTGTGCGAAAACAATGCCAGGAGTATTGAAAAATTAGAAGCAGAATATATAACGCGGATTGACCCAACAACTCTTTATGAATTACCTAATGTAGAGCCACGAGATCCTGTTATTATCGACGCCCTGTTCATTATGCTTGAAAAGGGACCGAAAGCTGTTTGTTAATTTTCTGTATAAGAAGAAAATTCTGACTTGATCCTCCCTCGCCGCCGTCTTAGCCTATTTTGAACTTTAATAAATTTGCCATTTTAATTTTACTTCTTTGTTCTTGCGTGCTTTGCTATATGTTAAGAGTACGTGCAAGTTTCAAAATCCGATGATGCACATAAAAATGGGCGTTATTTAAATTGTATACTTCTAATTGCATAACAAACGATTCAAAACACAAAAAAGAGGCCCTGTGCAAGTTAGTAAATCGGAGGTCTTTCAATTAAGACTATGGCAACTATTTTATCAACTGTTTGAATAAACGTTGGCGTGCCCTTGCACAATTGGTGGTTGTGTCAATTGGACCACAATGGATTTAATTTGTGACGATTCAATTACCAACGTGAAAGGTATATCCGATAATTAATTTTCATATTAATTCTCGACAGAATATTTACTTTAAGAAATTTAAAATAATTGGGAATATCAAATTCTACCTTCATAAATTATTCGCCGGTTTTTAGCAGCACACAAAATGGAATATATGGGTGAAAAACAAGTTATATATTAACTCATTTCTAGCGTATTGTTCGTCATCAGCCCGCCATCCTCAATCCCATTTATTCCACCACCGGGTTTAATAACCCACAACTTGTATTTTATAAGTCCACTATTATAACTACTGAACCATGGGTTTGTCATCCAATCGGTTGCGATTGTGTATTTTACCAGATGTAGTAAGTGGAATTTCACCTTGGAGCCAAGTGTCAAGCTTCTTGTAGGCAGTGTGACATAACCGACAAAGACAAAGGGGATGGGGTAACCATTTCTCGTGAACTGGCCGTCATTAACCAGGTTCAGGACATGAACCAATAACGGGACCATGGAAGTGAATATTCGGACACTTCAAGGGTAAAACAGGTTTTTATTTTTGGATGTAAGTATTCTATACATACTGACAGTATTTGGAATTGTTCAACATGCAGGCGATCTCATCTAACCACGACAATACCGACTGTAGATGACCAAACCTTGAGGCTAGTAGCGCAATATCGTCGGCGTAGTCAAGAGCAGTTAGCCGGCATCCGGGTGCAAACTCAACACCGTCCCCTTCATGTACGGACTTGCCGAGTATCCAGTCAATGACGTAGTTAAAGAGAACAGGCGACAAGACGCAGCCATTTTGGACACCAGACCAGCTATCGAACGAGTGAGAGAGATTGTTGTGAACCGGAACTGGTGCGGTGATAGACCGACAGTAGCCCTTAATCATAGCAATGAGTTTGGTTGGCACTCCATCCAGTTCCATTATTCGCCACAGGGACT